ATGGACGCAGCTGGCATTGCTGACATCACTGAACACTTCGGTAGATGGAAGACACTGAATGCCTGATGCGAGTGAGTGGGGAGGTATGATGAGAAGCGAGGAAACGGAAGCAGAACATCTGAACTGCCCTTTGTGAAGCTTGACGGAAAAGAGGCGGGAGAGAGGGCGCAGAAGCTGAAGGGAGAATAGACTGGGGAAGGGGTGAGATAAGCTTTATTACCTGAAATATTTTACTAAACAACCTTTAATGACCATCATCAAATATTGAGCTTTGGGGGTTTCCCTGGTGGCGCAGTGGTTGAGAGTCCGCCTGCCGATGCAGGGGACGCGGGTTCGTGCCCCGGCCCGGGAAGATCCCACATGCCGCGGAGCGGCTGCTCCCGTGAGCCATGGCCGCTGAGCCCGCGCGTCGGGAGCCTGTCCCCCCCAACGGGGGGGGCGACAACAGGAAAAGGCCCCCGCCCCCCCAAAAAAAAAAAAAAAAAAATTGAGCTTTGAGGATAAATAGACCATGCTAAAGAACCAATGTTCATGAAACCATTTTTCTACGTCTCTCCTTAATTGGTAATTGGTTTTTGGCCATGACAGATTTGCTTGTTAATTGCCATACTTCCTATCTAATCGTGCCTTTATAATTCTCTTAGAGAACATGGCTGAAAAAGATTCAGAGGGAGACCTGAATTCCTTTCCATAAATCACCCATATTAAGACAGGACAACGACAAGAGAGGTTCTTCCATAAGCCCTTGACCCCATTTTTATTTTACATTCTTGAAAGTACATCCCACAGGGAAAGGGATCTTGCAAGTTCCACATGTCTCTTTTTATGCTCCTATTATAATCACAAGCAGCTCTCTTCTTCAACCTATTTTGCTTCTCTAATTTACAAAATAATAATTTGTAAAAGAGGGGAATGGGCGCTACTCTCTGGAGTGTGTGACATGCCCTTCAGGTTGACTTTGAAAGGTGATTAATTACAGCAGCATCTGTTTCAAAAGTTCAAACTAAATGTACTTCTCAACTCTTACTAAAGGGAATATATTTTACACCTGTGACTTGTGAAAAGGGCTGACCTAAGTCAAAATTATGAAGGAGGTAAAGCGAATCATTAGAACGGGCACAGCCTACTCTGTTGAACGAAAGAATCTTTTAATAGCCCTTGAGTGGCCCTGTCTTAAGCACTCGGTAACGGATTCTCCATGAGTTCTGTGATTGCAGAATTGATGTAATTCAGTGTTGGAAAGGACTTGTGAGCTCAGAGGCCCAGAGCCATGAGGGGACATGGCTGAGTCCCCAGCGAGCGAGGGATAGTTAGACAATGCACTGGAGGTTTCAGGCTGCTGGTCCAGTACTGTATCTGCTGTGGCCAATCACAGCGTGGGACAAATGTGCCCCGTGCTTGTTTTTGTAAATAAAGTTTTATTGGAACAGAGCCACACCCATTCGTTTACACATCCTCTCTGGCTGCTTTCACTCTCCAGCTGCAGAGCTGAGTAGCTGTCAGACAGTATGGCCTGCAAACCCTAGAAGAGTCCCTCTCTAACCTTGACAGAAAAGGGGCCGAGACCTGTGCTGCTAGGTAGCATTGGCTGCCATCCTGGCCGCACTTGAGAATCACTTCAAACAAAAGCACGGGGTGCTGGGCCACACTCTGGACCTTCCCATCCCATCTTTCAGGATGGGATCCAGAAATTGGCATTTGTTTAAAAAAAAAAAAAAAAAGATTTTCCTGCTCAGCCACGTTAAGAGTCACTGCATTACATCGTGCTGCCTCTAAAGCACATGACCTTGAAAAGACACTTCAGGCTATAAGTGCGTGTTTATATGGGATACGAGCCTGGAGAATGCCCTCTAGAGTGGCACTTCACACACTGTCCGCTAGTATCAGAATCCCCCGGAGGGCTGGTTGGAACTCTGATCGCTGGGTCCCAGCCCCGCAGATTCTGCCCAGTAGGTCTGGGGTGGTTACACGTGCCAGAGAGCTGGCACCTGTAACAAGCGTGCAGGTGCCACTCACGCCGCAGACCCATGACCGCAGTCTGCAGAGCGCTGACTTAGGTCAGAAAGGCTCCCATCTCTAATGAAAGTCAAGTCCTATTAGCCTGGGGAGGGGGCTGGCGATAGATTTATGGACCAACTGCTGGGATGGTTCCAGACCATGCTGTAAAGACCACCACCCGTCTGCTCAAATCGTGCTTGTCTTCCTCTCCACCCCATCCGGAAGCCTGGAACCAAGCCATTCTTCTTCCAGTCTCCGCTCCTGTACAGGTTTTCTCTTACTGCGTCTTTACATTCTCCGGGGACTATTTTGTGTCTTGTAAAGTAGCTGTATTTTGATTAGAGAGAGGCCGGATTGGTGGAGGCAGGAAAGTTTCAAGCATAAAAGAAAATGGATATGTTGCGAAGGAGTATAAAAATTAGCAGAAGTTGAATCAGTATTTGTGGAAATCGTGAATGTGAACACACACACTGGCAAAAAAGGCAACAGAGACAGGCAGAGACAGAGGGTGTGGGAACCACAAAAATGATTTTATTTTCAACCAGAAAGCAACAGCAATGGAGAGTCTGGGCTGAGGGCCTGGCAGCGTGACTCAAGTACCAGGGATTGAATTCGTTCGGGTGCAAGAGGCAGCATACAGAGACCTTTCATTTCCAAGCTAAGCAAATCACATCCAAATCTTTGTGACACTTGTCAGTGGATTTCTATCTACACAGGCTTGGGATTGCTTTTCAGATTTTTCAAGCAATTTTGTAAATATTTTTTTTAAAGGGAAGGAGCCACTGCAGTGAAGGTTTTGGTGCCCCCTTTCTTTTCTTTCTGATATACCAGGCATTGAATCAATTACAGGAAAAGTAAAAAAAAAAAAAAAAATTTGTGAGGGCTCTGATTTAAAAAACCAAACCAAAATAAGAGTTTCTCATCTGCGGCACGATTGATATTTTGGGCCGGATAATTCTTTGTCGTAGCATCCTACAAAGCGTAGCACAGCCTCTGAAGCAGCAGCCCTGGTCTCTACCCACTAGATGCCGGTAGCACTTCCCCCAAGTTGGGCCAACCAAAGACGACTCCAGGCATTACCATATCGCCCCCTGGTTCAGAAGCGCTATTTTAGAAACATTCTCCCGCCCCCATTACCGTCTCTGTATCCTTTTTAAACCAGATCATCAGGTTCCCAACACCGAAAGCACGTGTATGCTCCCAGACATTGTGGGTCTCTCTGCAGGCCCTGCATATGTGCCCGGAGCCGAAATGGAATGCCGCGTCCACTGGGGGGCGCTGGTTCGGTTCCTCAGGAAGTCTGTAGATCTCAGTACCATGATAAAATGCCTCTTTGTCCTCAGGCCTTTTCCTCTTCTCCAGCAGAAACTCTCATCACTATGGGCAGTCAGTTTTTGAAGTCATTTTCTTTGAAAGCTGGAAAGAAAATCTTCACCCAAGCCCACTCTCATCTTCATCCATCTAGATTCCTACTTGAATTATATGGCCAGACACTTGTGACATGGGATCCAGGGTTCTTCATTTGTATCCAGCAGAAAAGAGAGAGGTACCATGTTTCTGAGTTCTGTTATGAGGACTGGCTACATAATTTGCAAGGCCCAGAGCAAAATGAAAACGCAGGCCCCCTTGTCCAAACATTATTAAGCACTTCAAGATGGTCCTAGCACTGTTCACACACCCATGACGTCGCACCTGGTAGCCTTGGTTGCCGCTGCATCACTTTTGTGTATTAACGTAATTGGCATTGCCAGCTCTTTCTCCCCTATTTTGCGGTGCCTCCTGTGAAGTAAGAACCTCAGAAACAAAAGGCCGTGCCCCCAATCCGTTTAAAGAATTGTACTGCATCAAATGTTTATAGCATATATTTTTCTGGCTTTCAAAGAAGATCCACATGGAAATCTTTCTACATCGTTACAGTAATGAAAGTAAACACTGTGGCCTTTCATCATATACATATTTTCCTGTAAATATGACAACATGGAAATAGTAATTGCTATTATCCACAATGTTTTTAAGTTAGCAAAGAGACTTCCACAACAGAATGATACATAATCCCTCTTGTCCATATAAAAATAACCAGAACACAACCTAAATGGCTTTCAGTGAAAGCTGGAGTAGTAACTTCTTCATATTGAAAAGCATTATAATTCATGGAAATACTGTCCTCGTAAATGCTTTAGATTAACATCATAAGGCAAACTGGAGCATGTATTGTACCTGGAGACCATGATTTTAAGAACCTCAGAAGCTGAGTTTTAGACCCTTTTATTTAAAACCTGTTAGTGTACAAAGTGCATGAAAATATCCATTATTCAGCTACCAAAAAAGTACGTAAAAATTACTAAGCCAACCCTTTTGGTTTATTCAGGCAAGGCCAATGCTCATTGTTTTTATATCGTAAGAAGAAAAAAATCCCATTAAGTTTCCAGAGAATGATTAATGTTTTTTTTTCCATTGAGGCGTCCATCTTTTAGATGTGAAATTGTCCTAAGTCGCTAACAAAATATTCATCTGGGTATAAATAATATAGTAAATATATAGAATCTATCTGTTAAGAAAAAGGAGCGCACCTGCCAGTGAAGAGGCCGGAGCACCGGGCAAGCCACCCGTGAAGTCCAGACTCGTCATCACATAACACGATGCTGAAACAGTGGGTCTATGGACGAATTTCAAAGAAACAGTTGGTTGATTTGCTCAAAAACAAAATCAGTAAAAACAATGTCTAAATCCCCCAGTCTGTTCAGTCAAAACGGCCAACCCCGTAGCCCAGATAAATATTTTAGCAAATGAAATGGTTGATAGATGTCACGCCCTTCGTCAAGGTAGAACCAATGCCAGATTCCTGGCCCAAGTCCAAGGACGGCTTAAAAAGGTCTTAATTCACGGACCGCTCCAACGTGTCAGGTCAGCACGCCAAGCATCCCATCTGACATGGTGTTAGCAGGTTCTACTAGCAGGTTCCGGAGTGGGAATAGTGAGTTTGATTTTTTTTTTTTGCTTTTTCTTACAACTCTATGGTAAACTACACTAGAATATAGAGGGACTTCTACATCTTTCAAGATGTGTTTAATAAAAGTCTGTTTATAATAACTTTTGAGGCACGTATACTGGAGAACAGTACTTTATGCAATGTCCCTTGTCATTACCAACTCATATATATTAAGTGTTTTTCGGGTGACTTACAGTTGAATGTGGTAGTGGCAGCTGGGACCACGTGTTGACGTCCTGGAGAGCAAAATCGATCCAAAGTGGTGTTGCCATTTGTGACAGAAAATGTTTATTTCCTCAGCCCCAGAGACAAAAATTATTCGGGGGAGGGGGGACACAGGACAGCTATTAAACATAGTGAAGAAATTTCACAGGCCTAAAGAAACTATTAAAAGGAAATAGATTTCTATCACGTCACAGAATCCCACTTCCGAGGAAACGCAAATCAGCCCGAATTTTTGAATAATCAGTAGGACTCAAGGCGACTTTTTTCAACTGCAATCTCATTCTTCATGTTCTCCCAGCATCCTTAATCCTGGGAAAAACAGGGCCATACGTGGCCAAAGGTTTCAGAACCTTTCTTTCCAGCATCATCCCACCAGCCATCGGAGGGTAATTACAGATTTCACTATGGCAGATTCCAAGCTCCCGAGTCGTCTTTCCATTCTCCCTCTTCCTCTCTCCATCCTACACGACCCAATAAATTTTTCTGACATCGCAGTTAGAACACTTCAAGATAAACCAGAGTAAGAAAGCCTGTTTACTTCCCTACTGGATTCAAAACTACTTTTTATTTTGAAAATAGCTGCAGGACACAGGATGTGAGAAGGGTAGATAAGCACACAAAACGTTTTTCTCGAGCCCAGACACTGTGCTGAAATAAAGGTGGTCAAGAGCTGGTACACTTCCGGGCCTCCTAATGTGCAAAACCAGAGAATTCCTAAGAGTTGTAATCCTGGTTATGTTCCTTTTATAAATAATCTATAAATTTTCCTGTAAATACAAAAAAAAAAAAGGTGAAGAAATTATTAAAGCCTGTACTCGATACAAAACACAGTGACAGGGAGGAATCGCCCGTTTGGAGTCCTATCTTAGCTGATTTCTGGATACTTTTTGGTGAGATTTAATCACATTCTGGAAGCCTGTGTTTTCTGTGTCCCCGAAATGGTGGCCACCACCCTTTTCATTCCCCGGAAGACAGCTCCGCGCGGCCACGTGCTCACGGCAGCTGCTCGGTGCAGTCTAGATGGTCTGGGATGGGAAGGCCGGTTATGATGGTCAGACATTTGTTCCACACAGTGAAGGTGGGGCACACAGGCTGCGAGAATGTGATGTCGAAAGTGTAGAGGTGGATGGAGTTCAAGGCATCGTAGAACGCGATGGAGCCGTTATCGTAATCCAGCAGGATGCCGACGCGCCGGAGGTGGGGGGCTGGCTCGATGGGGATCTCCTTGCTGTTGTGTCTCACCACCCAGGTATTGTGGCAGCGGCACAGCGCCCATGAAGCAGAGTTCTTGCCAATCCACTCATGCTTCGGGGCTGATTTGTAAGCGAGGCCAATGGCATACCTGCAGACACAAAACAGCAACGACAAAAACCATGAGCCATGTTGCACACACGCGTGAAATCCTTTCTGCGGTCCTCAGGGGTCAGGAAAACGGGATCCTCTTGTCGTCCCTGTTCATTCTTCAGTGAAAGCTGGCATGAACCCTGGACCCACGTTCCTCATCTGTTTCCCTTCCGAACATAGAGTGGGCAGAAAGGGGACACTGTATTGCCCCACATTCCCGTTTTCAGTTCAGACGTTACAAGAGAAATTGGAACTTTGTGTTTTGCTGTCTTTTTTTTTTTACGTTCACGAAGACCCACGCGACGAATTCTCTAGACCAGTGCCGTCCCGTAGAACTTTCTGCAATGATGGACATGTTCTGCTCTGTTCAGTATGGTAGCCACGAGCTGCAATGCGGCTATTGGGCACTTGAACTGTGGCTGGTGTGAGCGAGGAACTGAATTGGAAATTTATTCAATTTTAATGAAATGAAACTATTTAAAGAGCTCCCAAACTGGACAGCACAACTCTAGACTTCTCCTTTTGACCTTCTTTGAATTTTTCACCTGACGCCTTGTCTGTCATTTTCCATGATTTCAAAAGGCAAGCATGGAGAATGATTTTCATTTAGGGGGATAAGTTCTTTGTCATCTCCCAGCCTCAGTTTTCTCATCTGTAACACAGGGACCGTCATTGCGTCTCAGGGTTATTTTGAGGAGTTCAGGAAAGAATACGTGTACAACCCCAGGCACGAGGCCTGGCATATAATACCCACTAATTGTTATTAGTTTTGCCCAGTGACACACGACTAATAACTACCAGAATCAGACTTTGAACGTAGAATGATTCAAAAGGCCACAAACTTACATAACACCCTCTAGTGCCTTTCCTCACCAGAAGAGCCCCTTCGGTTTTATTTCCTACTATACTTTTTAAAAATCTGACTCTCTCTGAGAAGATGGGCATTCTACTTATTCTAAATGTCCTCACTGCTCAAAAAAAAAAGTTAAGAATTCTTTCTACAGTGTTTTCACCCTGCTGGAGTTTGCCTCCGTAATATTTGCGGTATTTCATAGTTATTGAGATAAGCAAACCCCTTCATTCTCAATAAATAGTGAGCGATTCAGAGTTCCCTTCTTACAGGAGAAACTAGTCTAGCTGGATATTGACATATGGTACCTTACCCACTGCAGAGAGAAAAACTTCATTGGTCTTTGATAAAAAAGAAAAAAAAATGACATTCTTTCGAAAATCATGTGCTGGATGTAATGTACAATAAGAGAACACACCATGACTGAATTAAAAGAGGATGGACTTGGTCATCTGTTCAGCCCAGGGTAGCAGCCTGTGTGCCGTCAAACCGGCCTCTTCTCTTCCCTCGTCAATCCTGCTCTGCATCTCAGGGACAATCCTGGGGCTGCATTTCCCAGAGTCCTCCTTCCAATAAGAGTCTGCATCAGATTCAGCCACTGACACCCTTGCACAAGATCCAGAAGTTCTAACAGGAGGGGAAACACTGTTTTCCAGACAGTAGACAGCAGAGGTGAGGTCTGTGGAAGCTTCCAGGCAAACTCCTGGGTATAAGTTGTCTCTGGGCTGTGGGTAGCTTTCCAGCTTCATGGACTGGAGCAGTGGGCTCCCTGACCTGCGCTCCCAGCCCTTCCAGGGCCCCTGGAAGCCTCTGGCTCTCTTCCTCCTTGGTGTACCTAGAATGACTTCTGTTGTTCTCAGAACCCTAACAGACACTTGGGAAAGGGTTTCGTTTTGCAGTTTTAAGTATCCTCCCTCAAGACGTTCTCTCTGTCCTGGCAGCTGCCATTTCCCTTTTCAGATAATGTGGCACTTGCCTTTGCATCACGACATAGCTGCATGTCTGTACTGGTTCCTTCCTGTTGCTACACGCTGTTTTCATTTTTTGTTAAAGAACTTTGACGTTTCTTTTCCATATGAACCTTAACTGAACCCCCTACAAAGCAGCTGTGGCAGGTATGACTGACTTCACGTAGCAAGGGGGAAACCAAGAGGTTAAAATGAGGGGCAGGGGCTTCCCTGGTGGCGCAGTGGTTGAGAGTCCGCCTGCCGACGCAGGGGACGCGGGCTCGTGCCCCGGTCCGGGAAGATCCCACGGGCCGCGGAGCGGCTGGGCCCGTGAGCCATGGCCGCTGAGCCTGCGCGTCCGGAGCCTGTGCTCCGCAACCGGAGAGGCCGCAAAAGTGAGGGGCCCCCGAACCAAAAAAAAAAAAAAAAAAAAAAAAAAGAGGGGCAAAGTCCAGACTCGCTTAACCCGGGGCCCAGTAATCTTTGCGTGAACCCACATTAGCACCATTTCCTAAAACACCAAGAGCATGTTAACAGCCTTAGAGTAAGAAAATAACTCCGTGTAGAGTCCATTAAGCAAAGGAAACCCCCATTATATTATCGTTAATCTGTAAAACTATGTACATCTTGCCACCGAGCTTGAAAGGTGCAGGCAGAAGGCAGTGTTCCATTAAGGTGCGCAGTGAGACTCGGAGAATTCAGAAAGTATAAGAATTATGTTTCTCGGCAGTGTTAACATGCCCCAGGGCATGGATCATACCGTACATGTTAATTTCAAGTCAGGACTATATGTCACGAGAAAATATCTGTGTCATTAGCTGGTGCAAATCAAGGTATTACAGGCATTTGATTGTAAGCGTCACCCTTTCCTCCCAGGAAATGTTCAACTACTTTCTGAGAATTTTCTGCAACGGACACAAGTTTGTAAAGATCCGAAAGCCTGGCGATTAATTTGAGAACCTTTTCCCCTCCTCGTGAGTTGGTTTTGACATCTGCTGTTTTCAAGGTAGTGCTAATCTATGTTTGTATAAGTGAAGTGGTCTGGTGGAATTCCCCACACCATTCATCAATGGCAATGAGATCATAATGATCAGGTATCATTTATCATAAGTAATTATTAGTGGGATTGTAATTATTTAGACACTGGATTCCATCCCAGATTAACAGAGCCCGTTAATTAACTGGAAATATTTGCTCTTTTGCGCCTGCAACAATTCACTGTATTTTCCTTTGGGCTTTTATCTTGTCCCAGTGCAGCTACAAACTATAAATGCCAGTCTGGCCCAGAGTGGGGGAAGGATTTGTCCTCCACCCTCCAGGGGGATGTTGGAACAGGAATGTTCTGGGCAAAGAGAACCGTGTGGGTGGCAAGAGAAAAGAAACCTACTTGCTTGGCTAATATGGGGACCGTTGTTGGGAGAAATAAGACACCCAAGTTTATGATTTGACTTCTTGGATTTTGCACGACTTGTACCAACACTGGAAAGGACTTAGACACACTGCACTGTCTGCAAAGATCTGAATTGAAAGTTTGTTGTTTTGGGTTTTTTTTTTTTAGTAAATAAGAAGTGTTTTAGTATCCTGATCTCAAAAGTAACACTGTTATAATAATCATCAAGTTAGGCAGTTTTTTTTTTAGGCACAGATTAAATTATCAGTCGTTAAGTACACCACAGTTAGCCCCAAAGCGTATTTTTTTTTCATTTCCTTTATGGTTTATTACAGGATACATATTTTTAAAATTTTCCTTGAGGCATAGCTGATTTACAGTGTTGTGTTAGTTTCAGGTGTACAGCAAAGTGAATCAGTTACACATATACACAGATCCACTCTTCTTTAGATTCCGTTCCCATACAGGTCATTACAGAGTACTGAGTAGAGCTCCCCGTGCTCTACAGCAGGTCCTTACTAGTTATCTATTTTATATATACTAGTGTGTATCTGTCAATCCCAATCTCTTCCTCCCCCCACCCTGTAACCAAAAGTTTGTTTTCTACATCTGTGACTCTATTTCTGTTTTGTAAGTTCATTTGTATCATTTCTTTTTAGGTTCCACATATGAGTGATATCATATGATATTTGTCTTTGTCTGACTTGCTTCACTCATTACGATCATCTCTGGGTCCATCCACGTTGCTGCAAATGGCATTATTTCGTTCTTTTTGATGACTGAGTAATTATTACAGGATACTGAATACAGTTCCCTGTGCTCTACAGCAGGACCTTGTTGTCTATCCATTCTATGTGTGTTGGTTTGCATCTGCTAGTCCCACACTCCCAATCCATCCCTACCCCGCCCCTACTTGGCGACCACAAGTCTGTTCTCTACGTGAGTCTGTTTCTGCTTCTTAGAGGGTTTCATTTGTGTCATATTTTAGATTCCACATATAAGTGATATCACATGGTATTTGTCTTTCTTTTTCTGACTTACTTCACTTAGTACGTTCATCTCGAGGTCCAGCCATGTTGCTGCAAATGGCGTTATTTCGTTCTTTTTTTTATGGCTGAGTAATATTCCGTTGTATATACGTACCACATCTTCTTTAATCCATTCCTCTGTCCATGTACATTTAGGCTGCTTCCATGTCTTGGCTGTTGTAAATAGTGCTGTTGTGAACACAGGGGTGCGTGTATCTTTCCGAATTAGAGTTTTGTCTGGGTATATGCCCAGGAGTGGGATTGCAGGCAACTCTATTTTTAGTTTTTGGAGGAACTTCCATACTGTTCTCCATAGTGGCTGCACCAGTTTACATTCCCACCCATGGTGTAGGAGGGTTGCCTTTTCTCCACACCCTCTCCAGGATTTGTTATTTGTAGACTTTTTGATGATGGCCAGTCTGACCGGTGTGAGGCGGTACCTCATTGTAGTTTTGATTTGCGTTTCTCTAATAGTTAGCGATGTTGAGCATCTTTTCATGTGCCTCTTGGCCGTCTGCATGTCTTCTTTGGGAAAAGTCTGTTTAGGTCTTTTGCCCATTTTTTGATGGGGTTGTTTGTTTTTGTTGTTGTTGAGTTGTATGAGCTGTTTGTATATTTTGGAAATTAAGCCCTTGTCGGTCGCATCATTGGTGAATATTTTCTCCCCGTCCGTAGGTCATCTTTTTGTTTTGTTTATGGTCTCCTTTGCTGTGCAAAAGCTTGTAAGTTTGATTAGGTCCCATTTGTTTATTTTTGCTTTTATTTCTACTGCTTTGGATTCCTATTGCTTTGGTAGACTGGCCTAAGAAACCATTGGTACGATTTGTGTCAGAGAACGTTTTGCCTATGTTCTCTTCTAGGAGTTTTAGGGTGTCATGCCTTATGTTTAAGTCCTTAAGCCATTTTGAGTTTATTTTTGTGTATGGTGAGAGGGTGTGTTCGAACTTCATCGATTTACACGTGGCTGTCCAACTTTGCCAACACCACTTGCTGAAGAGACTGCCTTTTCCCCGTTGTATATTCTTGCCTCCTTTGTCGAAGGTTAATTGACTGTAGGCGTGTGGGTTAATTTTGGGGTTCTCTATTCTGTTCCATTGATCCATATGTCTGTTTTTGTGCCAATACCATGCTGTTTTGATTACTGTAGCTTTGTAGAAGTACTGTCTGAAGTCTGGGAGGATTATGCCTCCTGCCTAAAGCGTAATTATAATGTTTCAAAAATACAGCATGGTGGTTAAGAGCGGGGGTTAGCAAACTACAACCCATGGGCCAAATCTGGCCCTCTGCTTGTTTTCATAAATGAAGCTGTATTGGCACCCAGCCACACCAATGCACGGATGTGTGGTCTATGGCTGCTTTCCCACCACCACAGTAGAGGTGAGCAGTTGAGACAAAATCATCTGGCCTGCAAACCTAGAAATACTGGCTCTCTGGCCCTTTACAGACAACGTTTGTGGACCCTTGGTTAACAGCTTGTACCCTGATTACAGACTCCCCAACTCTGTCACTATGAGCTTTGTGCCCTTGGGCCTCGGTCATCTCATCTGTAAAATGGGATATTAGCACCTACCTTTGTGGGGCTGTCAGGGTGAATAAATGAGTTGCCATTCGTAAAATGCTTAGATCAGTGCCTGGCACATAGCTGTGCTAGATAAGGGCTGGCTAAATAAAAATCATAATTGCTCAGAAAGGGAGCTCGTTAAGTGGGCATTTGTGAGACAGATGGCCAGGGTGAGAGGTGCAGTTTATGGCTGTGGAATAGGCAAGGTCAGCTTTGTAAGGTGAACTTGGTAGGGTTAACTAATTCCCACGTGGACTGCCCTGACCTCCACCCCTTAGGCTCAGAGAACTCAATGGGCTCAAAGCACTGGGCTGGATCTAAGGGACCCTCTGAAATGAGTCCTGGCCAAGGATCACTGCTTCACCCCCAGCCCCCAAATAGCTCTCAGCTCTTTGTACTGATGGGCCCAGTCTAAAATCACAAAACATACAAGGCGACAGAAATTAGTTTAAGTGATGAAGAGCAGGAATTTAGAGTAGGAATTGGAGAACTTATTCTGTAAAGGGCCAGAGAGCTAATAATTTTGGCTTCATGGACCACAGGATTCTGTTTTACCTCCTCAACTCTGCTGTGTGGCTCAAAGGCAGCCATAGACACTGTGGAAAAGGATGAGCCTGGCTGTGTTCCCATAAATAGTTTATTTACAAAAACAGACAGTGGGCTGGGTTTGGCCCAAGGGCTGTAGTCTGCTGACCCATGCTTTAAGGCATGAAAGAGCAGTGTTAGCATACTAGCTAGCTCTCCCTGGGACCAGGGCTCAATTCTTGCTGTAAATAAAAAATGGATGGCGTTAAAACGAGTACTTTTTCTTATTGGCCGAATGGTTAGATTAGATGATTGCTTGGTGTATTTCCACTCCCTCCTCTCGACTCCACGTGAAGAAAATATACTTCCCGGCACCACTAGCCTTGGGCTTGGCCACGTGACTGGCTTTGGCCAATAAGAAGTTAGCAGACATGATGCAAGCAGCACTTTGAAATGTGCTTGCAGAGTTGGGCTTGTGCTCTTGGGCTCCTTGAGAAGGACGTGGCCTGGGTAGCCCACATGTCCAAAGAGGATGAAGAAACCCATAGAACAGACCTAGATCCAACCTCCAGCTTAAAGCAAGGCCCAGTTAAGATTAGCCTTGAACAGCTAACCCACAGATGTGGGTGTCAGTGAGCAACAGTAAATTATTATTGGTTGAAGCCACTGAATTTTGGGGTGTTTGTTATGCAGCATTACTGTAGCAACAGCTGACTGATCAAGATTTTCTGCATATCATGATTCAAGATGGACTCCGGTATGTGTTGATGCTCTGGCAAAGTCAGATGTGCCTTTTTATAGTTGTAGGACAACATCCATCAACAGACGAATGGATAAAGAAGATGTGGTGTGTGTGTGTATACACACACACACACACACACACACACTCTGGAATACTACTCAGCCATAAAAAAGAATGAAATAATGCCATCTGCAGCAACACGGACGGACCTAGAGATGATCATACTGAGTGAAGTAAGTCAAACAAAGACAAATATCATATGATATCACTTATGTATGGAATCTAAAATACGATAGAAAAGAATTTACTGACAAAACAGAAACAGACTCACAGACGTAGAAAACAAACTTTCGGTTACCAAAGGGGAAAGGGGAGAGGGATAAATTAAGAGTTTGGGATTAGCAGACACAAACTACCGTGTGTCAAAGAGATGGGGGACAAGGTCCTGCTGTGTGGCGCAGGGAGCTATGTTCAATACCTTGTAATAATCTGGGACGGAGGAGAACGTGAAAGAATATATTTAGATAAAATTGCCTACCATGTGCTTCCGCTTATGACCACTTCCCAGTAATGCCGGCCACTGTCAATGAACACGTTTCCAGCTACGCCGTAGCTGCCTTGGCTGGTGAAGCGTTCAGGCGTGTGGCTCTTTTTGGATGATGACTCATCACGTTCTACTGTCAAGTTATCGTGGGACACCTTTAGCTTGCGATGTGCAGATTTGGGGTCCAGTTTAAATGGTTGGCCTGGAGACGGTTACAAAACAGAAAGCGGAAGATGAAAAGAACTGTTGATTTTAACACGAGCATGAACGTATTTTCAGAATCAGCTTTAAAAAGTACCGGAAGATGGTAACGAGCACGTCCCTGCCATCATGGGCTCGCAGTCGGTCAGTTCTAAGATGCGGATGCAGGGGTGCTACGCTCACAATTCGACAACAGCTCGGGCGAGGATCCACCAGAACATGTGGTGTGAGCTATCCTGGGGGAATCCCAGCTGTACACCAGCGGCACAGGTACATACTGGCTGAACAGCATCCGGGAAGGGAGGAGAAAATGAAGGCTTCATTTTCAACCATTCCCATGTTCAGTCAGCTTAAAATGGGTTCATGCTCAATAGACTTCAGACCAGGAACCAAACAAGTCAAGACTGCAGGTTTTCACGTACAGAATAACCTACAGGCTTATATTACCTTGAGATTGTTCCAAATTAAAGCAATCCTCTCACGAGCTTACAGTGACTATAAAGTTGTCTGTTTTTCAGCCCACAAGATCAGGCAAACAGCGTGATGGTGACACCTGGGTTTTGCCTCGTGAGTTCATTTGTATGTATAAGAAGCTCCTCGCTCTCTCACATTTGTGTTTTGAAAATTGAACCATTATAAAATCTTGGGAGAATCGCACCTGAACATCTTGTTGTTAACTGTTACTTCTCTGAGAATTCACCATTGGTGTGGAGGCCACCCTGTCATTCAACACGACGTCGGTACAAGGCACTTAAAAGGCAGGAAATGAGGTACAACGTGATGCAAAAACACCATGATGTTCAAACTCCACAGCCACTGGCAGCTGGGAGGCTGCTTCCGCGCAGTGCACGGGTCTCAGACAATCACAGGAAAAAGTCTGGTAAATCTGACTGTGGCAATACACGATGGCTGAGAAACTGAGGCAGCGAGCCTGGAGCAGTGTGTGTGACATCGCATGCAGGCAGGCCAAAGGATTTCTAGTCGCTGCTTGGATACCGACATGACGTCAGCACTTCTAAAATCCTTTCTTTTAGATCGGGGACCAGCATACTTTTTCTGCAAGAGGCCAGATAGGAAATTTTTTCAGCTATGTTGGCCATGTGTTTTCTTCTGGGGCTATCGAACACTACTGTCCTCGCATGGAGACAGCCAGAGACATAGGTAAACAGATGGGCGTGGCTCTGTGCCAGTAAAAGTTTATTTACAAGAACAGGCAGCTGAATCTGGCCCACGGGCTGTACTTTGCTGACCCATTTTAGATTTCTGTTCATATCAGAGAAAAGCTTAAAGGGGAGCTGAGAAAATCCTCAAGTGCCCAGCAGGCAGTGGGTATTCTCAAAGGCTGTAAGACCGGCTGGATTCCACGTGTAGTTTAAATTTTGCCTTGGCTTGATTAAAAAAAAAAAAGAAACAAAACTGTCCTCAGGAATGATCCCACCGGCAACTATTAGGGATAAAGTATGAACGAAGACAAGAAGAGTCTGAAGGTAGTCTGGCTTAACAGGTGAGATAAACCATAATGGAAAAGGACATGAAAAAGAATGTATGTATAACTGAATCACTTTGCTGTACAGCAGAAATTAACCCAACATTGTAAATCAACTATACTTCAATAAAATTGGGAAAAAAAAAAAAAGGTGGAAGATAGAACGTGCGTAAAAATCATTGGACCCTAATGGGCGGATTAGGAAGGCCTTCCATAAAGGCGCGCACCCATCACTGACCGTGAAGGCCCTGTTCTGCTTGCCCTTCTTCCAGTGAGGAAGACCAGAACGTTACAGCCACCGAACAGACTGGCCTTCTAACGGTGAACTACATCGTGTTTGCTTCAGCTCCCGGCTTCACCGACACATGCATGGAGCAGGGTCAAGCCATCTGATGTCAGGCCCAACACCCTGCCTTCTCGGAACTAATTCCACTTGCGCCTCGGATGTGTTTCTCAAGGAAACTGTGACCTACTCTGTCTAGGTTCAAGGCTTTCGCTTTGATGAGGGCAAATGAGCGCAGGGAACAAATTAATCATTGACTTGGCTAAACAATTCAATGCACTGTAGGACTTGTACACCTAAGAGTTTAACAAACTATAGCCCGCAGGCCAGATTCAGCCCACTGCCTGTGTCAGTAAAGTTTTGATGAAGCACGGCCATGCCGTGCTTTTTGCACGACAGAGTTGAATACCTGTGACCAAGACCATCTGACCTGCACAGCCCCAAATAGTTACTGTTTGGCACGTTACAGAAAAAGTTTACCGACCTCTTGTACGTAAGTTAACAACATCCGGTCAATGACTGCATGTCTAGACGTAGAAGATGACATTACCTGTCTATATGAAATGAATACATTATGTTTGGTAAAACCGGTGAATTACAAACAAGATGTCTCTTAGATCTACTCTATGGAATTAACCTCAGTGGATGTATATATTCATTTTTTTTCTTAGTTACTCTCTGAGGACGTTTTCTTCTTTACCAGCAGAAACACGGAGAGGAGAAAGTAGCTTATGTTTAAGAGTTCTGTATCTTAAACACGTATACCTGGGATAAAGTTACTTGACTACTGAAATCAAGGATTTGGCTTAAATGAGGGTTCCTCTTAAAAAGTAGTTCCTGTTGGCTGGCAACCCTAGAACGCGCTGCGATATTGACACACTCCAAGTGACTTTCTCTTGGGAGGTCTTATGCAAAGAAATACCACATTGTACAGCATAATATTTCTAGCTCAAAAAGATGTAAAGAAAGATGAGCATAAAATAAAACACAGGTGGGCAGAGAGGGGGGAGATGACAGTGTTACAAGATGCACGTACCGCCTGGCTCGCCCTGTGTTGTAGGGGCCATCCTGAGGATTGTGGGACGTTTCCCGTCATCCCTGGCCTCTAACCACTAGACACCAGTAACATCCATCCCAGCTGTGACAACCAAAAATGACTCCAGACATGGCTCAGTGTCCCTCGGGGGACCAGAATCACCTCTGAGTGCGAACCACAGACCTGGACAGCTATCTGGAGTAAGAGAATTCCTGAAGAAAGAGTTAGTAATTTGCTGTTCCGCTACGGAAAAGAATACTATCTACCAGTTACAGCGCCCCGACTCTGTGTCAGGCTTGGAACCGAGAGGAATCTGATGCAAAACGCACGATCACACACTGGCTCTTTGCTTGCTTTCTGAGGCTGTCAGCGATACCCGCGACCGAGAAAAGGAAAAGAAGGGGCGCTAGAGGCAGCTGAAAGGAGGGCAGATGAGAGACGACAGCTCTGCTGAGCTGGCGGCACGTACTGTTTGTCTTCAACTTCCCAGGCTCGCTGCTGCGGCTGCCCGCCTGGTTGATGGCCTTGACAATGAAGATGTACTTGGTGCCGCTCTGCAGACCGTGGACGGTGTAGTGGTTCTGCTTGATGTTGGGCACGATCATCCAGCTATCGGCCGAGTTACACAGACCTGCAAAGCCAAGCAGACGTGATGGGTTCTTTGGTGCAAGCATGGGGTAGATCTGCATAATGTTAAGGTCGCAGGGTTTTCGGTTATTTGAACCGCAAGTGGAGAGCTTTGTCACTTCTTAGGGAGGCCACCAGTCATCTCAAGGGCTCCGTCTCCTGCCTATAACTAGGATGGCAACCTGTAGTTATTATTATATGTTCCTGCTGTGTGCTCTAAGTGGAAAGACCGACTAAGGTGATTATACTGCAAATCCTGTTCAGTGCGACTAGGAGCAGCGAGGATTGTTCCGTCCAGCATCTTAAGCACCGTCTAGGTGCATGATGTGTTACTAGGTGCCGTGGGATGAAAAGCAAGCAAGTAACCACGGATCCCTCCCCCAGTTCTCACGATGATGACCGTTCAGTGTTTGATCTCATCCATTTTGAGACTCACAGGAGGTGAGGGAGAGACCCGGGTCACGTATGAGAAACTGACTTCACTAACGTAGATGTAGTAGAGGTTGCATTTCTTGCCTCTCCTTCTTCACCCTGCCCTGGATCCACGTCTAGGTGACTTTGCAGTTGCTCCTTCTAAAGACACGGGGTATATATTCTCTTACCTCGTAGCTTTGGATTTGGCCACGTGACCTGCTTTGGCCACTAGAATGAGGCTGAAACGATAACGTGCCAGTGGCCAGAGGAGGCATTCCAAGGCCTTGAGGGTTTGTTGCCCCCTCGTGCCACTGCCACAGGGAGGACGTGCCCGGTAATCTGCTCCTCTCATCGACTGCCCAGCCGATTTGGGAGTGAGGCCAGCAGAGACTGGCCAGCACCAGGGCAACTTCTGACAGGGGACCAAAGAGAACGCTCATTGGGGTTGTTTGTGACCCAGTGCTCTCCTGGTCGTGCTTCAGCGAGTCAGGACATGTGTCCCTAAGAGAACCCTGGAGTGGCAGCACCTGAGGGCAGCTCAGGGCCCAGGGTGGCTCTGAGAAAAGCATCAATAGGGATTGGGACCAGCTGCATCCCTAGCATGGCTGGTTCCAAAGAGCAGGGCCGCTCCCCCGGCTGCATCCTGCAGGGTGTGGTTTGAGGGGCAGGCTGCGGATGTAGGAGGTTTTGGAAGAACATGTAGGAAAGAGGAAGCCGTCTTGTTTTTCAGCTGGCTGATGCTGAAAACATTTCTTTGGTACTGGGCCCGACTCTCCTCTCCGCCCATCAATCTCCACGCTAATCGAACCTTTTCCCAGCCCCCTGGTGACCGGGCTGTCGTGGCGTTTCCGGACTCTGGTGAATTTCCTTCACCAATTCTCGGCAGAGGGCTTGGGCCCCTCCACTTCCTGAGGGGCGCTCAACTTGCCTCCCCTCCTTCCCTTTCAGGGGATTTGCAAGTCAAAGCGTTAGTTCTTTTGATCTTGAGGCAACTTACACCTTAACCATATGCCCAAGAAGCAGTCCCTTCATCTTTCTTTGGTCTTACCTCTTTGAGACTCTAATAAAACATTTCTGTAGAAAGAAAACTCACAAACGCATATCCCTACTAACCCACAAATACCTGCACAGCATTTCAAGATGTTCACGGCCCCATGACAGCTGTTTCTCAATCCTACTAAATACCGTCTCCGACTTTTCAGGTCAACATTGTTCACGGTAGTCTCACGGTTGAGACGAACGTGAAAATATTTTGTTAATTGTGAAAATTCACCTCCTACGATTTGTATCTTGGGTGCACCGTATTTGCAGGTGCACTTCAGAGAGTCTTAAGATAAGCACACATATATATAGTCATAAACATGAAAAATCCTGTGAATTTTCTCTCACCTCTTTTCACTTCCATCTGTAAACATTTAAACCAGGAGGACTGCAAGAGTTGACAGAGCCGCCATAAAGCAAGGAAATGATGTGAGACTCACAGAAGGGGTTGAGTGTGGTGCGCTTGTTTTCGGAGACATAACAGAGCAACTAAGGCACCATCCCCCCAGCCCCAATTTCCCCCTAATTCTCCGACCGGTTGTCACTTGTATTAGACCCAGGTGAACATCCACAAATAGCTTAGTAACATGGGACTCTCCCAATTACCTATCTCCTTTGATACTTTCTCACCTTCCCTTTTCCTTGAACACAGCAGTGACAAGCTCGACACTTCCAGACAGTGCCGCAACCAAATTGTAGATTTTGATCCACCCAAAATTGGATCTCAGCTCTGGGCCCCAAGAAGCCTGTAACTCAGTTTATTATTAGCGTTTTTTTGAATTTTATTTTATTTTTTTATACAGCACGTTCTGAATAGTTATCTATTTCATATGTATTAGTGTATCCACGTCAATCCCAATCTCCCGCTTCATCCCCCCCCCCCCCCCCCCCACCACCACCACCACCACCTCCTCCCGTGCTTTCCCCCCTTGGTGTCCATACGTTGGTTCTCTACACCTCTGTCTCTATTTCTGCCCCGCAAACTGGTTCACCTGTACCATTTTTCTAGATGCCACACGTAAGCGTTAATATATGATATTTGTTTTTCTCTTTCTGACTTGCTTCACTCGGTATGACAGTCTCTAGGTCCATCCACGTCTCTGCAAATGACTCAGTTTTGTTCCTTTTTGTGGCTGAGTAATATTCCATTGTACATACGTACCACAACTTCTTTATCCATTCGTCTGTCGATGGGCATTTAGGTTGCTTCCGGGACGTGGCTGTCGTAAATAGAGCTGCAGTGAACATAGGGGTGCATGTGTCTTTTCGAATTACGGTTTTCTCTGGGTATATGCCCAGTAGTGGGATCGCTGGGTCATATGGTAATTCTATTTTTAGTTTTTTGAGGAACCTCTATACTGTTCTCCATAGTGGCTGTATCACTTTACATTCCCACCAACAGTGCAAGAGGGTTCCCTTTTCTCCACACCCTCTCCAGCATTTGTTGTTTGTAGATTTTCTGATGAAGCCCATTCTAACTGGTGTGAGGTGATACCTCATTGGAGTCTTGATTTGCATTTCTTTCATAATTAGTGACGTTGAGCTGCTTTTCATGTGCCTCCTGGCCATCTGTGTGTCTTCTTTGGAGAATAAGGTCTATGTCGGTCTTCTGCCCATTTTTGGATTGGGTTGTTTGTATTTTTTTTTGACACTGAGCTGAATGAGCTGTTTATATATATTTTAGAGATTAATCCTTTGTCCGTTAATTCGTCTGCAAATATTTTCTCCCATTCTGAGGGTTGTCTTTTTGTCTTGTTTATAGTTTCCTTTGCTGTGCCAAAGTTTCAGTAGGTCCCATTTGTTTATTTTTGTTTTTATTTCCATTTCTCTAGGAGGTGGGTCTAGAAGGATCTTGCTGTGATTTATGTCATAGAGTGTTCTGCCTATGCTTTCCTCTACGAGTTTGATAGTGTCTGGTCTTATATTTAGGTCTTACATCCTTTTTGAGTCTGCTTTGTGTATGGTGTTAGGAAGTGTTCTACTTTCATTTTTTTACACGTAGCTCTCTAGTGTTCCCAGCACCACTTATTGAAGAGACTGTCTTTTCTCCATTGTATATTCTTGCCTCCTTTATCAAAGATAAGATGACCATATGTGTGTGGGTTTATCTCTGGGCTTTCCCTCCTGTTGCATTGATCTATATTTCTGTTTTTGTGGCAGTATCATACTGTCTTGATTACTATAGCTCTGTAGTATAGTCTGAAGTCAGGGAGCCTGGTTGTTCGAGCTCCGTTTTTTCCCCTCAAAATTGCTTTGGCTATTTGGGGTCTTTGGTGTCTCCATACAAATTTTAAGATTTTTTGGTCCTAGTTCTGTAAAAAAAAAAAAAAAAAAAAATCCATTGGTAATTTGACAGGGATTTCACTGAATCTGTCGATTGCTTTGGGAACTGTAGTCATTTTCACAATATTGATTCTTCCAATCCAAGAGCAGATGGTGTATCTCTCCATCTGTTTGTGTCATCTTTGCTTTCTTTCATCAGTGTCCTATAGTTTTCTGAGTACAGGTCTTTTACCTCCTTTGGTAGGTTTCTTCCTAGGTTTGTAATTCTTTTCGTTGCCGGGGCGAATGGGATTGTTTCCTTAATTTCTCTTTCTGATCTTTCGTTGCTGGTGTATAGGAATGCCCGACATTTCTGTGCCTTAATTTTGTATCCTGCAACTGTACGAAATTCATTCATTAGTTCTAGTAGTTTTCTGGTGGCATCTTTAGGACTGTCTATGTATAGTATCATGTCACCTGCAAACAGTGACAGTTTTACTTCTTCTTTTCTGATTTGGATTCCTTTTATTTCTTTTTCTTCTCTGACTGCTATGGCTAAAACTTCCAAGACTATGTTGAATAAGAGTGGTGAGAGTGGACAGACTTGTCTTGTTCTCTTTGATTTCTTCAGTGATCTCTTGGTTATTTAGTAACGTAGTGTTTACCCTGCATGTGTCTGTGGTTTTTATGGGTTTTTTCCCTGTAATTTATTTCTAATCTCATAGTGTTGTGCTTGGAAAAGATGCTTGACATGATTTCAATTTTCTTAAATTTACCAAGGCTTGATTTGTAACCCAAGATACGATCTGTCCTGGAGAATGTTCCATGTGCACTTCAGAATAAAGTGTATTCTGCCACTTTTGGGTGAAATGTTCTAAAAATATCAATTAAATCTAGCTGGTCTATTGTGTCATTTAGAGCTTGTGTTTGCTTGTTAATTTTCTGTCTGGATGATCTTTCCACTGGTGTGAGGTGTTAAGGGTCCCCCACTATCACTATGTTACCGTCGATTTCTCTTTTATAGCTGTTAGCAGTTGCCTTACGTATTGAGGTGCTATGTTGGGTGCATATATATTTATAATTGTTACATCTTCTTGGGTTGATCCCTTGATCATTACGTAGTATCCTTTCTTGTCTCTTGTAACATTCTTTCTTTTAAAGTCTATTTTATCTGATATGAGCGTTGCTACTCCAGCTTTCTTTTGATTTCCATTTGCATGGAATATCTTTTTCCATCCCCTCGCTTTCAGGCTGTATGTGTCCCTAGGTCTGAAGTGGGTCTCTTGT